GGGTGGACTTGGAACTAATTGGTTGGACACAATAGCTCAGTTGCTAATTGATAAGTGGTAAGCGGTACAGTGTTGTCTTGTATTAGGAAGCAGAGAAAATTCTGCTTGGCACTTCGTAGAGTTCCCAGACTACTGAACATATTGCTGGGACATTTTCTTTTTCACATCAGTAGAGGGTGTCAATGGAACCTGCCAATGTACTCTGCTCTGCTTTGTTAGCTCTTGCCAGTGAGCATTTCCACACAAAATGGAGACACTGAACGGAAGTGATCTTGTGGGGACAAAATGGGGCTGTGAAGCTTGACTGTCACTCTGTTCAGCAAGGCTTTGCAAAAGTCCTTCTTGCCCTTATGGCAGCTTTGATTTCAGCAATACACAAATGATCTGGTGTAACAATAAGGCCAGTTGCTGGAGAAATGAACAGAAGTTACTGGCTCCTTCTCCCTTCTGCTCTGGTTAAGAGCTGATAATTTGTCAGCAGAAGAACAGGTGGATCATGAATAATCTTTTGAGTGAAGGGCTCCAAAAGTCTAAGCGGTCAGACTCCTCCCACCACCATCTCTCTCTCGTTCTCCCTCTACAGCCACGTTCCAAGGAGCCACACTAACTTTAGGGACTGACTCCATTCTGCACCGAAGGCTCTGCCAATCATCTGATTAATATTCATAAGAAGCAGATGGACGGGTGACCATTCAGAAAAGGTTCTTTTTCCATCTGGCCAGTAGAAGTGTTGAATTGGGTGCTTGTTCTCTGCTAAACAACCATTACAGACATTCTTGCAAACAGAAGAGCAGTCATTAGCACAGACTAGCAAATCAATCCACACCATAATTAGTGCAGAATTTCTAAAAAGGAGAGGTGCTGGGGCTCCAAACTGCCTGGGACTTGTACCCTCTGATACAAAACTTATATTGCAGTTCTTCCCCAACCTAATGCCATGCTGGCTGAGACTGATGGGAATTGTAGTCCAAAGCAGCTGGAGAGTGAAAGGTTGGAGAAGTCTAGTCTGTCTCTTTTTCACCAATGTGCAGAGGCTGATTGTGATCACTCATTGGTGAAGGAGATAACAGTGCAGGTGCTCCCACCTTTCTTCTCACTTCACATGCACTTAGACTGAGCCCCAGCAATAAAAACAGGTTCCCCTCAGTGAAAGTTGGTTCAGATGTGGGCAGGCTGCTTGGATAGGTGAAACCAACCACCTGTCTCCTTGATCCTTGCCCATCCTGGCTCATAAAAGCAAGCCAGGGAGGGATAGGCTTTGTGGGGTGATGAATGCTTCCCTCTGTGAGGCAATCTCCCCAGACCCACTTAAAGAAGTGGCTATTAAACCACTTCTTAAAAAACCATCTTTGGACCCAGCCATCATAGCCAATTATCTCCCTGTCTCAAATCTTCCATTCTTGGCCAAGATAATTGAGCGGGTGGTCGCTGAACAACTCCAGGCACGCATGGAGGATGCAGACCATTTGGCTTTCTTCCAATCAGGGTTCAGGCCTCATCATGGGACTGAAACCGCCATGGTCATGCTTGTTGATGATCTCCGGTGGGCTAGGGACAGAGGTGAAAGCTGTTCCCTAGTTCTGCTGGATCTTTCAGCGGCTTTTCATACCATTGACCATGGTATCCTTCTGGACCATCTAGGGGGGTTGGGAGCTGGGGGACTTCTTCCCTTCAGCACAGGGACTCAGCCTCATAGCCTGTGTCTGCCTTCCAAACCTAGGTTCCCTCAATATGTCTTGACTCCAATCTCATAACAATTGACCACTGGCCATTCTGGCTCAGGTTTATGGGCGTGATCTCATAGTGTTCTATTTTCTGCAGTGCTCCATTGTCTGAAAGCCAAACCATACATACGAATTAGAGGGTGTGGTTTGTTTGTTGTCATATTTCCCTTTCTTACCCTTTTAACTTTATCTTCCCTTTCTCTGCACCCCTTGTAACTTAGATGTTTGTCATTATATTACGTTAGGGTTTTGTTTTGTTTTTAAGGAAAAAAGGCAAGCTGGAGCCTTAAAAGCTGAAAGGAATATGACACCAATAAGAGCTTGGCAGGGATTTTGAGGCTGATGAGCGAGAATAAATGCCTTTTTTTTCAAATTAGCAGGTGCTCCCCCAAAACCATTGTGCACTGCAGTGTTAAGTGGGAGCAGTCTGAAGCAGTGGGGTTTTTTTCATTGAATAGGATTCATAGCCACTCTCTGTTTTCATGTGTAATGTTACATGCACATTAAATTCAGGATGCTTTAGGCATTTCCCCATGCTGATGCCATTCAGATGTTGTTGGACTCTTTTTCTCCTCCCAGCATTGCCATGATGGAAGTCGTAGTCCAAAACATCTAGAGGACATGGGTTTGATAAACCTAGAGCAGGCTTCCTCAACCTCGGCCCTCCAGATGCTTTTGGCCTACAACTCCCATAATCCCTAGCTAGCAGAACCAGTGGTCAGGGATGATGGGAATTGTAGTCTCAAAACAACTGGAAGGCCGTGGTTGAGGAAGCCTGACCTAGAGGAATAAGAGGAAGTTAATTGGCATTCTTAGCTTGCAGAAGTTGAAGCTAGGGTAAGGCAGTCTCAAGCTACAAACCAATGCACACTTCTCTGGGAGAAAGCACCATTGAACAGAGTAGGACTTCTGAGTAAGCATGCATACAATTGCACTGCACACCTGGAATTAAGGATTTCAGTAGTTAATAGGAGGGCCAATTTCTCCATCTGCATATTCATTATGCCATCAGTTTCAAGAGATTACTTGCATGTGTGAGGCAGGTATCACATATCAAATGCTAGAGGCGGAAGTTTCATATGTATAATTTAGCTTGTTTTAAAATGTTTTATTGATTTGTTTGTTTGTTTGTTTTTTAATGCAAAATAACAAAAAGAACGAGAATAAAAAATGTAAAGCGTAAAGCGTCACAGCTGGGAAGGACAAAAGCACAAAGATACAGTGTACCTCCAAAGGGATAATAAAGCATTAGCTTGTACAAATATTCCATGTAAAATACACACACACACACATCCCACCTGTGAGTTCCATCAGTATTGAGTATAAAGGTTCTATTCCTTACTTAGCCATATGGTGGTGGCACTGTGTCCCTCATTATTCATAAAAGAAATAATATCATGCCATATAGCAAAATATAAAGTGTATGGTACGCTATGTACTTTGTTTTTTACACTTTGTAAACCACTTAGAAATCTATTTTGGCATTAAGTGGTAAATAAATAAACAAACAAACATGTATGTATTTTTCCATTCTGCTCTGTTTCACACGTTCAATTCATTCCATTCCCTTCCATTCCTGTATTAAACAGCTTTTTTAAAAAAATGGACAAAAAATTGCATTCAAATATACTTAAAATGCATGATTTGCATATTTGAGAAAAGTATATGTATTTTAGCCATACTCTATTTGCATGTATTTAATGCAGCTTGCTTATTATTGAGCAGACACTTGCATCACAAAATTGTGCAAAATGCCCAATGGAATCCACTCCATTCTGTGCAGTGGTTTGAGTGTGTGTGAATTGATTCGGTTTGCATTAAAATGCAGAACAACCAAAGTCCTCAAGATTCCTTACACCTAAAATACTAAAATACTTTTCAAAAGAGGCAGTTCACACTGAAAGACGAGTTAGTGAATGATCATAAGGTACAAGGCAGTGGCATCGCAAAGTGTGGCTGGGGGCCATGCCCCCCAGGTTCCACGTCTGGGAGGGTGACAAGAAGGTACCCCGCGGGTTGCTTGCCCTGCCGCCCCGCCCTGGGCACTGCGGCACGAGCAGCCTCATGTGGAGGATCCTCTGTTCGCGGCTGCAGCTGCAAGCAGAGGATCCCGCCACAGTCTGTACAGTGTTCGAGCGTCACCGGCGGCAAACCGCTACGTACAATGCATGTGTGGTGTCGCACGCATGCGCTGTACGTAGCGACACCGCACATGCGCTGTACATAGCGGTTTGCCACCGGCGCTGCCCGAGCACCGTATAGATGGTGGTGGGATGCCTCCGGCGCCGCTACAGCCACAAGCGGAGGATCCCTCCGCCATCGCTGCAGCCGCAAGCAGACGATCCCACCACCGTCCATATGGCTCTCAGGCAGCGCCGGCGGCAAACCGCTATGTACAACGTATGTGTGGTGTCGCACACATGTACTGTGTGTAGCAACACAGCACATGTGCTGTACATAGTGGTTTGCCACCGGCGCCACTGGAGCACCATACGGATGGCAGTGGGATCCCTCCCTCCCTCCCTGGCTCTCCGTAAGTGGCTCTTGCTTTGCTGCTTTACAGCAAGCTGGAGAGGGAGGGAGGAGGACAGATGGATGGGAGCTGTGACTCCCGAGAGGACGAGCTGCGTAGCTTTGCCAGAGCCCCAGCAAAGCAGCATAGCTCCCCACTTCCCCCGATGGCTAGGGGTACTTGGGAGTCACAAGGGTGGGGGCGCAGAGGCATAGGAAGGGAGGAGGATATTTGGCGCCCACCCATGACTCCCAAGCCTACCGTGAGCTGTTGATGTGGGGGGTGGGGTGACAAAAAATTTTTCACACCGGGTACCACCTGGGCTTGCTACACCTCTGGTACAAGGGATATATGTTCACATGGAATCTGCCCATACACAATCACCTTGGTGAAGCCACCTTGAACTGCCTACTTTTCACCCCAGCATCCTGCAATCACAGCACATACTGGCATTTTTCAGTAGGGTTCATTCCACCAGTGCAGATTATGACAGGGTTATCAGAGTGAATAAATATGCAGAATTGGGGAAAGGACCTCAGAACCTGGTGAACCATGGCACTGAACCTTCTTCATTCCCAGTAGGAGTCATACACCCCCCCCCCAAAAAAAAATACTATCATAACCATTGATAGGCAGAGAATATTAAGTCCCTGGATTGGAGAACTCAATAAAGTGCCTATAGTCTGATGTTTTCCTGTCCATACTGTAGGGGTGAAGAACCTGTGTCACTTCAAATTACAGTTGTTCCTGCACTAAGTTTTGTCCTCCTGATAGCTCAGTCAGTAGAGCATGAGACTCTTAATCTCAGGGTTGTGGGTCTGTGCCCTGCATTGCAGGGGGTTGGACTAGATGATTCTTGTGGTCATTTCCAACTCTACAATTCTATGATTCTGTGATTCTATTATCATCACTGGCCATTGCAGTCCAACAATATCTGGAGGGCCACACGTTTCCCACCCCTTATACTGTGGGTTTCATTGATCCTCAGTGGTCCAACCTTCCCCTCCAATACCCTTCTCAATCCTCTAGATCAGAGCTTTCCAAACTGTGTGTTGTGACACAATAGTGTGTTGGCTGCAGTGTCACACAAATGCTCCCTGCACTCCTCCCCGGGCTGGAAATGGGTTAGTTTAACTTCCAGTTTGCTAGTGAAACTAATTACTCTGTTGTGAAATGATGCATGTCTAAAAAGTGTGTCACCAACATGAAAAGTTTGGAGAGCTCTGCTTTAGATTCTACCTGGCCACTTGCATGTTCCACAGCTTTTTCTTGCACTCATCCTGACTGCAGGCTTCTCATAGCTATCTAGTTGACCACTCTGAAAGCACGATGCTGGACTTGATGGGCCATTGGCAATGCTCTTCTTATATGCTTGTTGTTGTTTAGTCGTTTAGTCGTGTCCGACTCTTCGTGACCCCATGGACCAGAGCACGCCAGGCACTTCTGTCCTCCACTGCCTCCCGCAGTTTGATCAAACTCATGCTGGTAGCTTCAAGAACACCATCCAACCATCTCATTCTCTGTCGTCCCCTTCTCCTTGTGCCCTCCATCTTTCCCAACATCAGGGTCTTTTCCAGGGGTCTTCTCTTCTCATGAGGTGGCCAAAGTATTGGAGCCTCAGCTTCAGGATCTGTCCTTCCAGTGAGCACTCAGGGCTGATTTCCTTAAGAATGGAGAGGTTTGATCTTCTTGCAGTCCATGGGACTCTCAAGAGTCTCCTCCAGCACCATAATTCAAAAGCATCAATTCTTCGGCGATCAGCCTTCTTTATGGTCCAGCTCTCACTTCCATACATCACTACTGGGAAAACCATGGCTTTTACTATACGGACCTTTGTTGGCAAGGTGATGTCTCTGCTTTTTAAGATGTTGTCTAGGTTTGCCATCGCCTTTCTCCCAAGGAGCAGGCGTCTTTTAATTTCGTGACTGCTGTCACCATCTGCAGTGATCAAGGAGCCCAAGAAAGTAAAATCTCTCACTGCCTCCATTTCTTCCCCTTCTATTTGCCAGGAGGTGATGGGCCCAGTGGCCATGATCTTCGTTTTTTGATGTTGAGCTTCAGACCATATTTTGCGCTCTGCTCTTTCACCCTCATTAAAAGTTTCTTTAATTCCTCTTCACTTTCTGCCATCAAGGTTGTGTCATCTGCATATCTGAGGTTGTTGATATTTCTTCCAGCAATCTTAATTCCGGCTTGGGATTCATCCAGCCCAGCCTTTCGCATGATGAATTCTGCATATAAGTTAAATAAGCAGGGAGACAATATACAGCCTTGCCGTACTCCTTTCCCAATTTTGAACCAATCAGTTGTTCCATATCCAGTTCTAACTGTAGCTTCTTGTCCCACATAGAGGTTTCTCAGGAGACAGATGAGGTGATCAGGCACTCCCATTTCTTTAAGAACTTGCCATAGTTTGCTGTGGTCGACACAGTCAAAGGCTTTTGCATAGTCAATGAAGCAGAAGTAGATGTCTTTCTGGAACTCTCTAGCTTTCTCCATAATCCAGTGCATGTTTGCAATTTGGTCTCTGGTTCCTCTGCCTCTTCTAAATCCAGCTTGCACTTCTGGGAGTTCTCGGTCCACATACTGCTTGAGCCTTCCTTGTAGAATTTTAAGCATAACCTTGCTAGCATGTGAAATGAGTGAAATTGTGCGGTAGTTGGAGCATTCTTTGGCACTGCCTTTCTTTGGGATTGGGATGTAGACTGATCTTCTCCAATCCTCTGGCCACTGCTGAGTTTTCCAAACTTGCTGGCATATTGAGTGTAGCACCTTAACAGCATCATCTTTTAAAATTTTAAATAGTTCAGCTGGAATACCATCACTTCCACTGGCCTTGTTATTTGCAGTGCTTTCTAAGGCCCATTTGACTTCACTCTCCAGGATGTCTGGCTCAAGGTCAGCAACCCCACTACCTCGGGTGTACGAGACATCCATATCTTTCTGGTATAATTCCTCTGTGTATTCTTGCCACCTCTTCTTGATGTCTTCTGCTTCAGTTAGGTCTTTACCACTTTTGTCCTTTATTATGGTAATCTTTGTACGAAATGTTCCTTTCATATTTCCGATTTTCTTGAACAGATCTCTGGTTCTTCCCATTCTGTTGTTTTCCTCTATTTCTTTGCATTGCTCGTTTAAGAAGGCCTTCTTGTCTCTCCTTGCTATTCTTTGGAAATCTGCATTCAATTTCCTGTATCTTTCACTATCTCCCTTGCATTTTGCTTGCCTTCTCTCCCCACTATTTGTAAGGCCTCGTTGGACAGCCACTTTGCTTTCTTGCATTTCTTTTCCATTGGGATGGTTTTAGTTGCTGCCTCCTGTATAATGTTGCGAGCCTCCACCCATAGTTCTTCAGGCACTCTGTCCAGCAAATCTAAATCCTTAAACCTGTTCCTCACTTCCACTGTGTATTCATAAGGGATTTGATTTAGATTGTATCTTACCGGCCCAGTGGTTTTTCCTACTTTCTTCAGTTTAAGCTTGAATTTTGCTATAAGAAGCTGATGATCTGAGCCACAGTCAGCTCCAGGTCTTGTTTTTGCTGACTGTATAGAGCTTCTCCATCTTTGGCTGCAGAGAATATAATCAATCTGGTTTCGATGTTGCCCATCTGGTGATGTCCATGTGTAGAGTCGTCTCTTGTGTTGTTGGAAAAGCGTGTTTGTGATGACCAGCTTGTTCTCTTGACAGAACTCTATTAGCCTTTGCCCTGCTTCATTTTGATCTCCAAGGCCAAACTTGCCAGTTGTTCCTTTTATCTCTTGATTCCCTACTTTAGCATTCCAATCCCCTATAATGAGAAGAACATCCTTCTTTGGTGTCACTTCTATAAGGTCTTGTAAGTCTTCATAGAATTGGTCAATTTCAGTTTCTTCAGCACCAGTAGTTGGTGCATAAACTTGGATTACTGTGATGTTAAAAGGTCTGCCTTGGATTCGTATCGAGATCATTCTATCATTTTTGAGACTGCATCCCAGTACAGCTTTCGCCACTCTTTTGTTGACTATGAGGGCCACTCCATTTCTTTTACGGATTTCTTGCCCACAGTAGTAGATATGATAGTCATCCGAACTGAATTCGCCCATTCCCGTCCATTTTAGCTCACTGATGCCCAGGATGTCAATATTTATTCTTGCCATCTCATTTTTGACCACATCCAACTTACCCAGGTTCATGGTTCTTACATTCCAGGTTCCTATGCAATATTTTTCTTTACAGCATTGGACTTTCCTTTCGCTTCCATGCATATCCGCAACTGAGCGTCCTTTCGGCTTTGGCCCAGCCGCTTCATCAGCTCTGGATCTACTTGTACTTGTCCTCCGCTCTTCCCCAGTAGCATGTTGGACACCTTCCGACCTGAGGGCTCATCTTCCAGCGTCATAACTTTTATATGCCTGTTGTCTTTGTCCATGGAGTTTTCTTGGCAGGGATACTGGAGTGGCTTGCCGGTTCCTACTCCAGGTGGATCACGTTTGGTCAAAACTCTCCACTATGACCTGTTCATCTTGGGTGCCCTGCTCGGCATAGTTCATAGCTTCTCTGAGTTCTTCAAGCCCCTTCGCCACGGCAAGGCAGTGATCCATGAAGGAGTCTTATATGCTTACGTTGAGGTTATTTTCCTTGCCTTGATGCAATGGCCTCAAGTTCAAGATTATTAATAGCCCACAGATTTGACATTCTAAAAACTAATATCTGAGTCCGTACAATAAAGAGGAAAGGAACTCCAGATATATGAGAAATATTGCCAGGGTCAAGTCTCAGGAGTGGCCGCCTCTGATCCCAGCTTAGTCCTGTCGGTGTTGTCATCTTCAGAGTGACACCAGTCTTCAATCCTTATGCTCCTATGTTGGAATGGAAAACATGTTGGGGTTTGTGGGGAGTGTGTGTGTGTGTGTGAGAGAGAGAGAGAGAGAGAGAGATTCTTCCTGACCTGCGCACCAGCAGGGCACATGGATTATATCTCAGTTGGTATGAGGTGCCAAGTGGAGCATAATGGATCATCCGCCTCCAGCAATTGTGTCAGCCAGAACACAATTGGGAAATTGAGCCAATCTGGCTCAGACAGCAGAGAGGGAACAGATCTGCGAGATGACAAGAGCCTCCTGTTTCAAATTTTCTGTGTGACAACTTAATTTGCCACACAGGAATTAACTCCCTTTTCAACAGCAGCCTGGTCCCGGTCCCCCCCGCAACAACTGGCCAGAATGGCTGAAGGGCGATATGTACACTGAAACAATTGTTAACTGATTCACAAATTAAGGAAGCCCCCTTGGAAGCTGTTGAAGGCATCTTACCTTTAAACAGTGCCCATCTGCTGACAATTCAGTTATTGCTTTCTGACACAAGGAATACTCAATAGCAAATGACTAAATGTGACTGTCCGCGCATGTAATATTATCAATGGCTGCTGATGGCTGTTAATACCACCAGGATCAGAGGCAGTGTGCCCTTGAGTACCAGTTGCTAGAGATCATGAATGGGAGAGTGCTGCTGCATTCATGTCCTGCTTGTGGGCTTCCCATGTGTATCTGGGTGACCTTAATGGAAAAGAGGACATTGGCTTAGTTGGGCCACTGGCCTGATGCAGCAGGGCTCTTATATTCTTATGGCTACTTCTTCAATTGCTACTTCATAAGCCAGATGCAAATCCTGGTCTCAGAGGAGGCAGATTCAGTGTCCCTGCCCCATCACCCTCAGTCTGCCCTCAGCCAGACCCCACCTGCCAGCCTTATAACTTACAACCAGTCCAGGAGGTTCTTTGTCCTCCTCTTTAGTCTCCATGTTTCCTTTGTAGAACTCAACAGGCAATGAAACAAGAATCAGTTGGCTCCACTAGTCAT